TCTCATAAGACCTGTATCACTTCCTCCCTGGCTAACAGACTGTTAAAAGACATAGTCTGTCCAGGTGCACAGTTTCTAGCATTTCTCTATCTCTCATAGTGACCAGCATTTTATTATTGAGCAAAAGCTAGCTATGTGGTACTCTATTACCAATACATTTACTCCTAAGAGCCTTTAAATAACAGAAACTGCCCAGGACCTATTAATGCAAAGGAACCAGGAAGCTTGTAGGCCAAGATAAAGAAGCTTAAGGTTGGCTATTAATTTTGGCTAATATTAAATCATGACATAGCTCACATGTAAGGATCACAGTTCAATTATGAGCCATAAAGAAGTTTAAAGAAAAGAAGATTTATAAGATATTTTTAAGCACATTAGTGCGTATTGTGGAAGCAGTGAGAGTGCTTCATGCCCAAGTAATGACAGACCCACGCCCTAGTGTATAAATCCAAATACAATTATTCTCAGCTGAACAGTGAGAGGTGGCAAAGTTGAGCAAGTCTCTATGAAAGCTGTGTTGCAGAAATGCTCAGACAGATCTTTTCTGAAATTAACAGCATGATGATAAGGTTATTCTGTCATCTATAAATTCTGACAAATTACTTAAAAATACTTTCTTTAACTCAATTATTTTAGTATTTATAAACACAACTTGGATGCATAGGACCAGTGACTTGTATTTGCAGTGTGAATGGTGAATACTTATGTATTTCTCATAACTGGCATGTGTTACAAAAGGACTATGACTTTTCAAAGACATCTTCTTTTTTGACCAAAACTGTAACCAATTAGTTGTGCTTGTTTAGGTAATGACTTAAATACCCCTGTAGTTGGCTGACACGATGCACGTGAATATAGTTGGGAAAGAAACAAGCACATGCCAACTTATAGATAAAGATTATAACCCAAGGAGAACTAAAAGGATAAGTCCAGTTCTCTGCCTGCTTTTCTTGAAACCAGTGTGTTCAGTATTCTTGGCTTCCTAAGAATTGGTCAGACAATTTGAGCAAAAAGAATTGATTTTATAGAAATACAATGAAATAAAGGACACTAAATAAAATGGATGACTCCAAAAATGAAAAATAATATTTTAAAATAAAAAAAAATCAAAACTCTGGAGCAACCAGAAATTCTAATTTTTGTCTTGATATAAGTTAAAGAGAAAAAAAACATAGACATGTAGACATGTGTATACTTCTAACTCAGTGAACAAGAACATGCTGAATATTTGTGCTGTGACTACAACAGCAGAGCAGTAAAGTTTGCTCTCATGATGTGGGAGAGAATGAGATATCAAGAAATAACAGAGGAAAAACAAAAGAGAGAAAGAATTTTGCCAGACTTATAGACTGTTGGATAAAACCGAGGATTCTTTCAGGATAAGAGAAAAATTAAGATTGGTAAAACAATTCATTCTGGTGATCGGATAGTGAAACAATAAAGAAATCAAAAGAGGAACAGGATTCACCTGGGAGTGACGTGTCAACACACAAACAAAGAGAACATTTTAGAATCGAAGAGAATCATTATCCTTCAGGTTAGGTGCTAAGCAGAATAAATTAACAAGTGTTGTCAACTATACATGTTATCTTGTTTATAAAACTTAATACAAAATACCAAACAATTTCATATTGAGAGAAAAAAAACCAAATATTACTGTATAAAAAACAAACAGGTATAAAAGTGGAGTATGAGGCATTGGAATTTTATACTCAGCTGAATGACTGAGACAGTGTGTGGGCCTTAGCTGGGGGACAGAAGTTAATAATAAAGCTTGAATAGGGTGAACAAGGCTTTGGATTTGGATTTGATCCCAAGTACCACACACACATACAACCAAACCAAACAAATAGAAAGCCTTGCCCTAGTTGTCTTAGTGGAAGCCTGAGGTCCTCTTTCAAAACAGAAACAAACAAAGACAAATAAGTGTAGATATATTGAAGGCGTCTTTAGATGATCAAGGTCTCATGTATTCTAAATTAATGATTTCTGTTTAGGAGTAACAAAAAGGATTATAGTCAGGCAGAGTAATCATAAAGTTTAAAGGGAAGCAAATACAACCCATAACACCTAGAGATTTAGGAGGTGAGGAGACTGGGAAAAACCATTCCAAGCTGAAGATCTTTCATGAATTTAGAGGATACTTAGAAGAAAAAAAAAGCAGGGGTAGGTGTAGAGTAGAAGAGAGAGACAGGTGAGAAAGCATTTGATGACATAAAAACCAAGACAGCCAGACAAAACCAAAAAGAACTCTTTTTTGGGGGGAATCTGCATAAAAAAAGTCACAATAAAATCAGATTAATTTTAACTGATGAAACACAACATTGGGAAGGAAGAACATTATCTGCTGTGGAACCCATCCGCCATGGCACTGTTTAAGAACTTTAAGAAGGATGAAGATACCACAACATTAAAGGTACAAAAGATATTGAGAAACTAGTAACTACTAAAGATACGAAAGATACTGGTAAACTAGTCTGCACGCACACAACAATGAATAGAGATATGGAACCCACCTCCGGAAGACCTGCGGATAAGAGCAAAGTGGGAATGGCGAAACACTGCTTAGTGACACATTCTGTGTTTCCTCTACTATCTTTAAATCTTCAAGTAGATTTGCATGCTAACAATTAAAATAGAAGTAGTGTGTTATTAATTTTATTTAGGTTCTATCCACAGTAAGACGAATAAAACTATTTTGTAAGCACACAGTTCTATTATTTAAATACCAGAAAATGCTAGTTGTTCCTAAATGAAACAACAAAGCCCAAATACCAAACAATTGTTACCTTTTCTAAAAGCTTCAAATGCAAGCATTTCCTATTCATGGATATCAATGATATTAATTGAAAGATTACAGTAGAGAAGCTTGGATGAAACTGAAGAGCTATTCAATTCCACAAATGAGTTATAGTTACGTACAAATACATCTACTACTCTAAAATGCACTTTCGTGTTCACAGTCTACATATTAAACTGATTACAGTTGTGTGTCCAGTGAGACGGTCACTGTAATAAACTCATATCTCTGAAAAGGGCCCCTTTCCTCCTAGGCAATGTGAATATGTTTGGGCAATTTTAGAGGTTATCTAGTGGTTTGTCCTTTTAGCATATTTGGTATTACTGTGTTTTTCTCAATAGCTATCTCAAAATATTAAAAGTTGTAAAGTGCAGTCTCATCGTGGCTTTCCAAATCCAGGTTTTAGCCTGTGCACTCACATCTTGGCCAGGTCTCCATGGCTTTAGGTTTTGCATAAAAGGTTTGGAACTGTGTGTGTTTTGTGGCTACCATGCTGGTGCCACGGTCTATAAGGCACTGGCCTTTCTGTCTTCACAGTGGTGTTCGGTGAGGGTTGGCTAAATTCAGAGCTCACTCCCTTTCACCTTTGGAAACAAGTACACAAGAAAGAAAGCAGTGGGAAATGGCCAGGTTTCTGACAAATCAACCCCGAGTGTGGAGAAGCACAAAGGAGGAAGCATAGCTTACCTAACTGAGGCCATGGGTCTGCTGTCCACATTTAGAAGATCAGTTTAGAGAACATGATACAAACACTCCTTTTAAATGCACAACAGATTCATTGATAGACATCATCTCCCATCTCTCTATACATTCTTCCCTTTAAAAGAGTTTTTGTGCTGGTGAAATTAACGGTTTAACTATTCATCTTTTACTTCATGTAATTTTTCTCAACTGATTAAAAGTTTTGATTTTACTTCCCCTCCCAACTCCCTGTCTTAACTCTGATAAGAAATTGTGCTGAAGTGCTGAATTTGACTAGCCAGATACTTTTAAAAATTGGTTTAATGCCATTTATCCAGATGAAAAAAAATTCTCAGAGAAAGTCTTAAGAAAAGTTCATAGATAAAATTGAAACAAGCCAGGAAGTGACTACATTTGCATAACTTGATCTGTATTTGGCAAAAAGATTCCGCTGAAGACAACAATGGAAGCTTATCAAATCAGAATTACACATAGATTTTCCATAGCTGTGCTAATGAATACTGACTCATCGGTGAGCTATGGTGAAAACTCAGTGGAGCTCTAGACAGGAAAGCAGGCCAGCATCACTCAGTATTAACCGCGTTAGTCCTGGCTCCCAGGCTCTGTCCTATGAACATTCTAGAGGGCACTGGCAAGGCTAATTTGTTCACGTGATTGAAGCCAGATCCTGCCATTGAATTAAGATGCCATTTGTTTTTTTGTTTGTTTGTTTTTTGTTTTTTTTTCTGCAGTCAGTCACAAAAAAATTTAAACTTTAGGTAAATCTGTCATCGTTTGAGATGCTGATGTATTTTCTATTACTCTTGAGTAGGCAGATAACTTGCACCTTAATCTTTCCAAAATTGGATCATCTATAGGATGGACTCAAAGGTAGAACTGGCTAAAGATAATGCAATGAAGATGATTTGACAGTGTTTTAAATACTCTCTTCAGGGGTGTATAATTATTCCCATGGCCAATCCAAGGTTCAGGGAATCACAACTTCCACAATGTCAATAAGATTAACTGGTCGACACAAAGCCTGGATTCTGATGATTGTAACACTTGGAACTGTCTTTCCAGTTCCACTCCTAGCAAAGTTTAGGATTATTTTTTTTTCTCCTTATTTAACTTCATGCTGAACTCTCATCCTCTAGGGGTTTCTGACTTCCTTCCTAGCATTCTCTAAGCCTCTGGTTTCAGTGAGTAGACACCATTATTTAAACCAGGAAACATTTAACAGTGAAGGGGGTTACTGATAGAAAGTAGGCTGAACAACAGACACGAACAGTACAGGCCCACGGGGCACATGCTGTCATTCTCACAGGCAATTCCTCAAGACTTTACTTCTCTGTGCCTGGTGTGGAGGCCAGGTCTTTTGAGGCCTACTCTGGGAATTTCTTTTCTCTATAATCTCACACTACCAACTTTATTTACTCAAGGGTCATTTTTCCAGACAACTGTATTTTTGTCCGTTACAGAGAAACCTGCGAAAACTATACTACACTAAAACTGGTACCTTTAATGAGCCCCTTTTCTTGCAGAGTTTTCAGAGAAGGTCTTCGGGAGATGAACTTCTTCAGTCTGCTCTTTACACGGTTTTTGTCACTTGAGTCAGAAGCACTGTGATGTAGCCGGAACACTGCAGATTAAAAACAAAGTCAGACGATTTTTTTTCTGTTTATGATAATTAGTTTGTGTAAGAACAAATGGGGGACAGAAGTTAACAGAATGACTATCTGGATGACTACCAGGACTCTTCTCTCTAGGTAGGGCAGAGGAGTAAAATTTGTCTCTCCAGAAGCATTATCCAGTGTGCAAAGAGAACAGGCCCAGCTACAATTCATTACTATTTCCATTCCCTTATATTTAACTTAGGAAACTTCCTCCCCATAACTCCATTTCATGTATCTAAAAGCAAAACTGGAGCCAAAGTAAAATAGTCTAAATTGGAAAAGTACTTTAGCTCTGTTAATTTCAATTAATGCTGATGATATGCTACTTCCACATAAGGCGTTGTTTTGAATATTTTGCTTGCCTAAATAATTTTGTTCCTCTTCTTCTTTTTTTTTTTTTAATATTAACTTACATGGTTTCTGTTTTTGATGTAGTCACTTCTTATTCAAATCTGTAAAAATCTGCCTCAGAATTTTCCACCATCTTCTATTCCTCTGCCCTCGGATCTTATTTCTATCTTCAGTCAAGTAGTATCAAACTCAGTCCTGAGCAAAAGTCTGCTCAACACCTAGTGATTGCCACACTCGATTCTAAAGGCTGTGAATGCAGTGATCAATGTATTCCACAAGCTCTGGGCTATCAGCTAGCCTACTGTCCTGCTGTTTCGCGGAATATTGCTAGTAACTACTAATGGCAATCTGGTGTGTCTGTGAGATAGCTCTGTCACCACCATTGTAGTGCAATTATTGACAAAACTGTGAAGTCTGATTTGTTGTTGTTGTTTTATCTTGTTTCGTTTAATCTTCCTGGCACAGGGGGTAAGAAATCCTGTAAACAGTCATGTAAGGGTGCGTCTGCACCATTCTTTCTCCAGGGTGGACCCAGGAACACACTCCAGTTGGCAAAACTAGAAGTCAATAGGAGGCATCCAGCTGGAATGGCAGAAAGAGATGAAGGTCCTGCCTACCTGGGAGCTGGGGTGGATGAAAGAGTTTTATTTTTAAAATTAAACTGAAAAATTTGATTGAGACCTGAGATTGGATGCTCTAAAATAAAGAACTGAAAACAATGTTTGTCATTGGAAAGTTCTCCTATACCTAATTTTACCTGAAATGAACAGTTTTCAAGTACCTGTTTTAGGTCAGGCAAGTGTTTTTGTAGCTGTAAGAACTTTTGTATAATGTGTGAAGGACGTTGAACAGTTTCCCCATTCCTTACTCAATACTTTGCCAGCAGCATCACTTTCTCAGGCACGCCAATAAAACCACCTCTAGATGTGTTCAAATGTGCCTTGGAGGGAGGGAAAATGGTCCCTGTTTGAGAACTAGTGCCTAAAACAGTTGGGATATATATATGACACACTTAAATTTTCTTTTCTTGGTAGTAGAAGCCTCATCGCATTCTGAGAGAACAACTTTCATTTTGGTGTAGGCACTGCAGTGCCTCAGAGGTATATATAAGTAGGGAAACTTACTACTGTAGTTAATTTTCCAGATCTGGGATCCAGCGTAGGAGACTAAAGGAATGAACACTTGGTGTCCTTCAAAGACACATGCCTTGAGGAGATTTTATTCTCAAATCCACTTTGGTAATTGTATGGAATGACTGACTTAAGATTTTTTTCATGTTATCAAAGATGCTGTTTTCCATTTCTTGTTTCACCTCAAAATCCTGCAATTCCCATGACAGGATGTCAAAAATGTGGGACTAGGAAAGGTTCTTTTTTTTTTTTCTTGACATTTCAGAACTCATAAACATGATGTGATTAGAAAGTACCTTGCAAATTACCACCACCACCACACACACACACACACACACACACACACACACACATACTCTACAAATGCTACATTATGAAAACAATTATGTAGTGAGTTATATCCTTTTGGAACCCCCTAGGTATTCCAGAGATAGTATTCTTAATTAGGGAGATATATATGTATATTATATTGTTTTCAATACTACCATCTGGTTCCACATGTGAGAAGTGTCTGTAAGGTGTATTGGATTGTAAGGGAAATGGAAATATGTTTCTAAATGCTTTATCTTCTTTCCTTCTTGTACATCCCAACAGCATCATGGGTAAGATCACACAGTTTTTCACAGAGGCAAACTTTCCAAAGGTGCCTCTAATTATGACCTTCCTGAGTGTCAGCTTCCATTTCCTGAAGCCATAAATAATCATCCTATGGCAGCAAGTCAGATTGCAAGGCCTTTGCCATCATTGCTTTGCTTATTTTGTTCTAAGGGGAGTTATGAAGATGTTAAACTCAGTAGAAGACTATAATATATGGCATACTTTTTATTAACCAAATAACTTGAAAGAAAGTGCCATAAATACAAAATAAAAATGTAAGAAACTCCGAGCTATGAAGACAGGTCCTTCACAGGGCCCTGCAAACAGCAGTAAAAGCCTTTGAATATTGTGGCTTACAAATCTGATTTTAACAGCCAAACTTATAAAACAGTTTATGCTTTTCTGTTGTCAAGGGAGAAGAACTTGCCAAATTGTTCATTTTAAGTAAATACAACATAAGCAATTAAGGCACGAAAAGTTTAAACACATGCCTGTGATAATCAGGACAGCTCGCTTCTGATCTCACTACTGATTCCACAGAACAGTGTTCCTTTCATTTTCCCATGGCACCCAGTGACCCCACACATACTTTTAGAAACTTGTAATCACACAGTGCAAATAAAAGGACACTTTACTGGAAAATACACAGTGTGGTACAATAATCCATCATTTATGAAAAATAGAATTCAGCCTTTTTCTTTTTCCTCAGAGATTTAACTACTTTTTGAGGGTGAAACTTCCTGCAGTTTGAAGATTTATGTTAAGCCAATGAGCAGTTTTTTTTTTCCATTCCCATTTAAACATTTTATTTGAAAATGAAAAGAGCTGAAAGAGATATGGTTTGAATTCTAAAGCAGTTAATCTGATTTGCAGAGGGGAACAGGAATTTCTCTTAATTCTATGTATTGTCACCTTCATGTAAGTGAGCTTGGTTGTACTTGCTTTCCGGGGTTTCTGGAACTAGCATGCATTTCTTTTATGTTTTCCTCCTATTTTCCGCTGATGGTGATATTTTCTTTCAAGCTTAAATAGAATATTTTTTCAAAGACCAAGAGTCTTAAAAAAAAAAAAAAAAAAAAACAGTATGCAATTTAAGTCTCAGAACAGAGAGGCAAAGAGTGCTACCTTTAAACACGATTCGTAGCCAGTTGAGAGACTTAATTGGTGCCAAAGCAGATAGGATCCTGGGCTTTGGAAGGTGTTCGGAGAGTAGGCTTTCTCAAATGATCTTCACCTAATAGCATTATGTGTGACAGTAGGCATTAACTCAACACTAGTCTCATACTCAGGCCAGCCATTCGGGAGTTTACTGGTACCTCTTGTGTATTTTTTTTCCCTCACAGTAATAATGGAGGGAAGGGCCACACAGTGTGGGTGACGGCCATCTACCGCCGTTCTATTAAGTGTATGGGAACCACAAAAGAAAACCCCAAATCTTCCAGAATCTAACAGTTTGGATAATATAATCCAGGATCGTGTATCTGCCAGAACTTTGCTTGCTTGGGACTTATTTTGAAATATTTCCTTTTCCTGCCAAACTGCTGTTCTCGCAGTATTCCCATGTCACAATTACATGTTTTCATTGTTATTTTTTTATATTTGGAAACTCTAGGAGAGTTAAGGCTTCAGAAATGTCACTAAAAGAGAGAAGGGTTGTTATACTTTAGAAACACAGTTTTGAGCAGCTTTCAAAGCTACTTTCTCTCATTTTACTAATGAAGTTTTGTGTAAATCAACTTCAGGTGTGGCTGGAGAGTCCCGTTAACAGCCAGGAGTCCCCTTGCACTTCAGTTTCCATTCAGGACAACAACAGGCTAGAGCTGGCAGGAATGGCAAGCGCACTCAGTTTGGCACTATGTAGTGTCCACAGTGAGAGATCCAGGAAGAAATGGTAAAGTTAGGCCGAGCCGAGCCCTTTATCCTCAGAGGCTGTGAGGAACCTCCCAAGCCACCCCAAGGGCTGCAGGATGTGGCGAGTGGTCCCAACTCAGGCTTTCCAACACAACCTCTTGTATTTAGGATTATTCAGTACTGCTATTTTCCTAAACTTCTTAAGAGTACCTTACCCCGAATTGATGGAGAAGAGAAAGAAAGTTAAATAAGTTTGTGTTCAGCCTGTGTTTTTTCCCAGGACATACACACTTACGCTAATAATGATGGGATTGGATTGGACACTGCCTTGCCCTCTCCAGCACGCAGTTTTAGAAGATGCAGGTTTTTATGTGACACTCCCTAGACTAAAGTGGACAAAGAGGAAGGTTAGGCTTTATATACTGTTGGTCGTTTAATTTCTCTTTCTTCCACATGCTCAATATAAATAGAAGCCATAATTTCAACCCTGAATATACAGTCTGAGAAACTAAGTTATTAAAATTTTAAGTGATTCGTTCAAAGTCCCAATAATGATTAAATCTGGAAATAATTAGAAGAGTTAATGCAGGGAGTTTTAACATTAGTACGTTGTTTTAACTGCTTAATTCCCACTTAGATATTGTAAAAATACAAGGCAAGACAATTTGATTCATAATGGAAGGGTTTGCATACATCATATGTTCATTATCCTTTAATGGAGAACTGAGATTCATATAGTGAAATTGTTTACTTTTAGAATAAATTTTCTGGCTAAATAGGCAAGTCTGAACCTATTTTATAATCTTAGTGCTATTAAAGAGTTGGGGACTAGTATAATTCAGCCATATGTAAATTCCATGGGTACTTTTTCCAGTAATATGTGTCTTCTACTTCAAATACATTCATTGTCTGTGAACTACTGTGTTGCAATATTCAACCTTCCTTTCATAACATATTTATCAAGTTTCTTTTTATGACCTACAGTTTTAAAAGATCTTTGCACCACTGGTTGAATCTATACTTCATTTCCGGAAGAA